ACAAATAATAGAGGGTGTTGCGGAGAGCCATGATTGCCCACCTCTTGAGGGACACGACACAAAAGAAGAAGAGTGAAAATTAAATTGTGCTTCGTTACTAAATACAAATTAAAATAAACCGCTATTACTGTATACACTTTTGACTCCCTCGGCAATCTTTATTTTATTTTATTTAGAAGATTATAAAAATAAGAGAATCAAGTACAATGCGATATTTATTATTTACTATTTATAAAGATTTATTTACCATTTTTTTAAGAAATTAATTTGAAAAGAAATCTTTTGATTACACAGTTTATAAAAAAATATAAAATATCTAAATCAATTACAATGCAATATTTATTATTGCATCAGTCAGTCGCGTGCCATGTGTTATACACGCTTAGGCGATCATGTATCTTTCGATACATGACTGACGAGGCAGATTTTTGCAGCAGTAGGTTGCAATTTCATCCTGCGGTAGACCAGTTGCCATCCAAAGCTACAGAAACCGGTCTGTCCTGCTATTTAGCCATAGCTGGGGAGGGGAAAAAGAAGAGGATTCATACCTTTCCCCGAGGGTATTAGCATGTATGCGAACTTACATTCGACTGGAATTCGAACTCGGCTCTCCTATTCCTCGATCTGAGTCGCAATCCATTATTCTACTGTACCATTATGCAAATAAATATAAAAAATTGTTTTTTATTTAACCTAACAAATAAATAGTGTGTAATATATTTGTTTGCAATTTTAAAGAAAAAAGAAAATGTATAAATCCATTTTAATATATATATATATATATATATATATATATATATATATATATATATATATATATATATGTGAAGAAATATAGTCTTAAGTGTGCTGCATTTATGGGATAAAGTGCTCAATATCAGAGATAGAGCGTGTGTAAATATAAAGTGAACATAGAAGTCAACACTTAGAGGCGACAGTCTGTTTCATGCTAGATGCAATCCTCAGGCCAACCTGAGCCTGAGGATTGCATGAAACAGAACTTCTATGTTCACTTTTATATATATATATATATATATATATATATATATATATAATCTCTTCACCTAAGCAAGGCAGGAATGCCACTAGTAGGGTTACAGGCTGTGTAAGGGAGGATTGAGGGAAAAAAGAAGAAGATGGCGATTGATGTTGCATTTAAATTTTTTAAGATTGTATTTATCAGGGAAGCAAGTAAACGGAAGGGAGTTTCACTGACGGGAAGTGCAAGAAAAGAAAGTGTTGGAGTAGAAGTGGCGGTTGCATTTAGCTACTTCAGTCGCTTTGACCCCTCGTTCTCGTCGTCTTATGGTCGTTAATACAATGTCGTATCTTCTCTTCCTTCTCTCGGCTGGTGATCGCTAGTTGTTTTTGGTTCGGGGGATAAAAGAACTTACCGTCGATATATACACCTCTAACTAGGGCACCTCGTGGTGTAATGGTTAGAAAGCTTGTCATGCTAGATCTGTTACGACCGAGTAGTGAGTTCGATCCTCAATGGCTGCCCCATACATTCGTCCTTGTGCTACATCTAAGCCGCGCTTAGAAAATCGCTATACATCACTATCTATTCAATGCGGTGGCTCTCCCCCACCCCAACAGTCCACACACTGATGAGTAATTTCCAGACACGAACGGAACACGTCTACATTGACGGTCTAAACTCGACTCCCCCGGAAACCTTTCTCTGTCTATGGTTCCCACGCTAGTTCAGCCAATCAAAATCCACTTCCTTTATTTTGTCTAGTATCTGACCCCTAAGGTCAAGCTGAGGAAGCCAGAACGAAATACACTACTCTAAAAAATAATAGTCTGATAAACTATTATTTAACATTTCAACAATAAACGGGTGGGACGTAGATGCCATTTTGGTAGCACGCATAAATTCACTAGCCATGAAAATATTTGTAGAAAAGACAGAGGGAAGCCACATCACGTCGGTGGGAAAGTGACTGAAGTCAGGATAGATTTCGTTACAGATTCTTCTTTGGATTTTGTCAAGAACCTCGAGATGAACAGCAGGAGCACCAGACCAGAGATGGCAGCAGTATTAATGTGTTTTGGTTTTATTAAAATTCCAATCATGGCTTTTTAAAACTCAGTAATCATTACCGGGGGAATGAAGGTAGTTTGCTGTAAAAAAGCGTCTTTTTGCACACCTTTTGTTCTTGTTTCTGTTTTTTTCGGCACGACAGTTAAATACTGCCGAGATATGCATCAAGATGCGGGCACCACAATGCCGGGTATCCGTAACTGAAAAAAACAGACGAGGAGAGAGAGGGAGAGAGTGGGTGTTAGTCTTTCAAACACCTTGGCTGGAAACGCTTCCGTTGGCCGGTGTTGGTTTCCCCCAGTGGGCTTCATTTAGTGAATAAAACGATGCAGAAGGGAAACCAGGCACGCGACCAGCGTTTAAGCCGCCATAATTCTTGATTTCCCAACCCGCTGAAAACAGCTGTTCGCAGCTGTTGGCGAATCGCTTCATTTCACGTCCTCACTAAGGCTGGGTGTGCACACGTATGTTTCTCGTCGCTCTCAGCGCTGTTTCTCACTAACAGACACACATTAACTCTCCCGGCTCTCTCACGCTTTATATATATATATATATATATATATATATATATATATATATATATATATATATATATATATATATATACAGGGAGAGAAAAGATAGATAGATAGATATTTTTTATATATTTTATTTTATATATCCGCAGTACTTAGTTCAGTGCTCAATATCAGTGATAGAGCTAACATATTCAGTTGTATGGATATGAGTTTGTGAGCCTGGGTTTCACGCTTTTGCGATCATCAGACAAACTCTCACTTGTCTGATGACCACAAAAGCCTGAAACCCAGGCTCACAATCTATCCATATCCAATATTTATATATATATATATATATATATATATATATATATATATATATATATATATAGTATTTATTAAAATTTATAACATAAGTTCACCTGATAAGACACCAGAAGTGTTGAAACAAAATGGCTATTTTTGTAGTGATTTTATAACATATTTATGTTATAATTTTCGAATAAATTATATTTGCTCTAGTCTGCATTGAGCACTCTTTTAAGAATAGTGCTTTTAGTTATTGGAATTTTATCTACACCAATCCTATACTTTTATATATATATATACATATATATTATGAATGAAATGGACAGAGTCCGACAATTGTTTTAAGACATTTTTTATGTTTATACGTTCTTTTTATAGATACAAATATTTAACTGAATGCTCTGTTTTATAATAAACAGTATTAATGACATTTACCGGCCTGAATGTCCGAGAAAATTTTCATAGAAAATATTAGTCCTCCGACAGAAATCGAACCTGTATCCTATAAGGAACCGTCATATAGCCTGACGTGCCTTCAACCGATTTGGTCATAGAGGAGCGTCTCGGATAACAGAGAATTTATTTAAACGCATAAACATAAAAAAATATCTTAAAATAATTGTCGAACTTTGTCTATTTGATAATGTGTGATGTCATTTGTTTACACTTGGATAAGCATCGAGCAGATATGAAAGTACGAGAGAAAATCATGGAGAATTGTATTTTAAAAACAGTAAAAACGACCTTGCTAACCGAAACGCTCCTCTGTGGCTAAATCGCTAAAGGCACGTCAGGCTATAAGTCTTAATATATATATATATATATATATATATATATATATATATATATAAGAACGATACACATATTTATATATCAAGAACAGTACTAGGGAAATTGTATGAAAAAGGTTATTTTTGACGCGTTTCATCCTTCACTATTTTATCTGACTAAATTTGTTATGTTGGTAGGACTCTCAATGAATTCGGTTAGAAAAAAATCTCAAAGACCCAGCACCCTTCTGCCGTAGGCATATGTAGTTCTACCAACATGACATATTTAGTCGGAAACAATAGACAGAAACCATCACTAGAAAATGCGAAAAGGTCTGAAATCAGCGCATATGCTAACCCACAAACAATATGGCGATAACAGCAATAACAAAAATTGTAATATGAGCTCTGATAAAAAAAAAGGTTAACTGAGACTTTACTTTTGTAAGTCTCAAAAATTCAATTATTAAAAAAATTGTAAGTCCACAAGCACACACGTGGATGAAAGCGTTGGTTGAAGTAATGTAAAAAAGTGACTTGACCCCAAAGAGTTGAGAGTTCAATACCTGGCCACAGCAGAGGTGAACAAAAACTAGGGAGAGTTGAGTAACTAAACAGAATTAACTGAAACTGAGATATCTAGAAAAAGGCATGAAACGTTCAATGAGAACTATCCCCCCCCCGTGGACTAAATAAAGACTTGTTTAGAAATTCTAAAATATATGAAGAAGGCCGGACCGTACAACGTGAATATGACAATAAAGATGAGGACGTCAATTGAAAAACTTAGGGCATATTATGAGAACAGAGGATTTGTAAAAACTCAAATTGCCTTTTCTATAAATACCTTCACGTTGATTGTTCTGATGAACTTTACACTAAGGTACCTAAACTTTAGGAATTTAAGTGCAGTACTGGGTTGGCATCATTTTACAATTAAAATGGCTAGATGTAAACGTAATTTCTATGTTAACAGTTTTTCTATCGCACTTATCGTTCGTGGAACTCTCTTCCGGTTACTAGCTTTCCAGTCGATTTTGATTTTCAAAACTTTAAATCCAACGCCAGTTGTTATGTCCGGTCTTCTTAGTTCTTGATCTTTCGTTCTCTCTCTTTCTCCTTAATAGTGTTATTTTTTTTTCCTATTCTCTAACACTAAGTAACATTTATTGAGAGCCATGATCATCCACATCATAAAAGAACACAGTAAATAATAGAAGAAAATTAAATGTATTTTATTTTTTGAACTTTCTGCCCTTCTCGTAGACTGAGCGACGACACACTGGGCCAGTTTCATGCCGTCCATCATAGAGAACTTAGATTTTCTATTTCTGATCTGTCAATTATCGCGGGCAACTTGTGAAATTTTTTGAGTCCTTCTTAATTGTGATTTCTTCTTCTTCTTCTTCTTCTTCTTCTTCTTCTTCTTCTTCTTCTTCTTCCTTCTCCTCCTCCTTCTTCTTTTTCGTATATCTCTTTCTACTTCTACTTTTTCTTCATCTTATGTTTATCCATTTGCCCACCTTTTTCCTCTATTTGTTCCTCTGCCCCGTTCTTCTTCTTCTCCTCCTCCTCCTCTTTCTTCTTCTTCTTCTTCTTCTTCTTCTTCTCCTCCTCCTTCTTCTCTTCCTCCTCCTCCTTCTCCTCCTCCTCTTTCTTCTTCTTCTTCTTCTTCTTCTTCTTCTTCTTCTTCTTCTTCTTCTTTCTGCCTCGTTCAATTTCTATTCCTCTTCGACATTATCTTTTTCATCTTCTGCTTCTTTCTCTTCCGAACCCTCCACTTCCTTTTCTTCCTCTTCTACTTTTTCTTCTATATCTTAATATTGCTTTTTTTCGTTTTTTTCTCCTCCATTCTTATCTTCCACATGTTCTTCTTCCCCATTCTTATTCTCCTCTTTTTTTCTTTCTCTTTTTCAAAAACTTCTCCCGTCTTCTTCTTCTTTCTTTCTTTCTTTCTTTCTTTCTTGTTCAGTTTCTATTCCTCTTTCTTGTTTTTTTTTAATATTCTGTTTCTCCGTCTTCTACATCAACCTCTTAATTTTCTTCTTCTTCTTCTTCTTCTTTCTTTTTTCTCTTTCTCTTTTCTTAATACTTCGTCATCTTTCTCTTTTCTTCTTCTTCTTCGTTCTTTTTTCTCTTTCTCTTTTCTTAATACTTCGTCTTCTTTCTTTTTTCTTCTTTTCTTTTTCTTCGTTCTTTTTTTTTTTTTTTTCTTAATACTTCGTCTTCTTTCTTTTTTCTTCTTCTTCTTCTTCTTTTTTCTTTTCTTTTCTTAATACTTCGTCATCTTTCTCTTTTCTTCTTCTTCTTCGTTCTTTTTTCTCTTTCTCTTTTCTTAATACTTCGTCTTCTTTCTCTTTTCTTCTTCTTCTTCTTCTTCGTTCTTTTTTCTTTTTCTCTTTTCTTAATACTTCGTCTTCTTTCTCTTTTCTTCTTCTTCTTCTTCGTTCTTTTTCTTTCTTTTTTTTTAATACTTCGTCTTCTTTCTCTTTTTTCTTCTTCTTTTTTTTCTCTTTCTCTTTTCTTAATACTTCGTCTTCTTTCTCTTTTCTTCTTCTTCTTCGTTCTTTTTTTCTCTTTCTTTTTCTCTTCGTCTCCTTTTAATACTTCGTCTTCTTTCTCTTTTCTTCTTCTTCTTCTTCGTTCTTTTTTCTCTTTCTCTTTTCTTAATACTTCGTCTTCTTTCTCTTTTCTTCTTCTTCTTCTTCGTTCTTTTTTCTTTCTTTTTCTTAATACTTTCTTCTTTCTCTTTTCTTCTTCTTCTTCGTTCGTTTTTTCTCTTTCTCTTTTCTTAATACTTCGTCTTCTTTCTCTTTTCTTCTTCTTCTTTTCGTTCTTTTTTTTTTCTCTTTTCTTAATACTTCGTCTTCTTTCTCTTTTCTTCTTCTTCTTCGTTCTTTTTTCTCTTTCTCTTTTCTTAATACTTCGTCTTCTTTCTCTTTTCTTCTTCTTCTTCTTCGTTCTTTTTTCTCTTTCTCTTTTCTTAATACTTCGTCTTCTTTCTCTTTTCTTCTTCTTCTTCTTCTTCTTTTTCTCTTTCTCTTTTTCTTAATACTTCGTCTTCTTTTCTTTTCTTCTTCTTCTTCGTTCTTTTTTCTCTTTCTCTTTTCTTAATACTTCGTCTTCTTTCTCTTTTCTTCTTCTTCTTCTTCGTTCTTTTTTCTCTTTCTCTTTTCTTAATACTTCGTCTTCTTTCTCTTTTCTTCTTCTTCTTCGTTCTTTTTTCTCTTTCTCTTTTCTTAATACTTCGTCTTCTTTCTCTTTTCTTCTTCTTCTTCGTTCTTTTTTCTCTTTCTCTTTTCTTAATACTTCGTCTTCTTTCTCTTTTCTTCTTCTTCTTCTTCTTTTTCTTTCTCTTTTCTTAATACTTCGTCTTCTTTCTTTTTCTTCTTCTTCTTCGTTCTTTTTTCTCTTTCTCTTTTCTTAATACTTCGTCTTCTTTCTCTTTTCTTCTTCTTCTTCGTTCTTTTTTCTCTTTCTCTTTTCTTAATACTTCGTCTTCTTTCTCTTTTCTTCTTCTTCTTCTTCGTTCTTTTTTCTCTTTCTCTTTTCTTAATACTTCGTCTTCTTTTCTTTCTTTTCTTCTTCTTCTTTTTCTTTTCTTTTTCTTCTTCGTTTCTTTCTTTTTTTCTTCTTCTTCGTCTTCGTTCTTTTTTTTTTCTTCTTTTCTTTTCTCTTTCTCTTCGTCTTCTTTTCTTTTTCTTCTTCTTCTTCTTCTTCTTTTTCTCTTTCTCTTTTCTTAATACTTCGTCTTCTTTCTCTTTTCTTCTTCTTTTCTTCGTTCTTTTTTCTTTTCTCTTTTCTTAATACTTCGTCTTCTTTCTCTTTTCTTCTTCTTCTTCTTCTTTTTTTCTTTTTCTTTTTCTTAATACTTCGTCTTCGTCTTCTTCTTCTTCTTCTTTTTCTCTTTTTTCTTCTTTCTTTCTTTTTCTTCTTCTTCTTTTTCTCTTTCTCTTTTCTTAATACTTCGTCTTCTTTCTCTTTTTCTTCTTCTTCTTTCTTTTTTCTTTCTCTTTTTCTTTTTCTTCTTTCTCTTTCTTCTTCTTTCGTTCTTTTTTCTCTCTCTTTCGTCTTCGTCTTCTTTCTTTTCTTCTTCTTCTTCGTTCTTTTTTTTTTTTCTCTTTTCTTAATACTTCGTCTTCTTTCTCTTTTTCTTCTTCTTCGTTCTTTTTTCTTTTCTTTTTCTTAATCTCTTCTTTCTCTTTTCTTCTTCTTCTTCGTTCTTTTTCTTTTCTCTTTTCTTCTTCTTCTTCTTTCTCTTTTCTTCTTCTTCTTCTTCTTTTATTTATTTCTACTCAGTTCAATTTCTATTCATCTTTCTCATTTTCTTCTTCATCTTTTTCTTCCATTACCTTATCTTCCTTGTCTTCTTCTACCTGTTCCCCATTTACTCTTCTTTTTCTTTTTCCTCTTGCTATGTTTTATACTATCACTGAATTCAGTCTAATTTCTCAACATTTTCTTTCTCTCTCTCTCTCTTTCTTTCTCTCTCTCTCTTTCTCTCTCTCTCTTTACCGCAAACATTTATTTCCGGATGCTTTCTCAACGGCTATGTTCTTCCTGCTTGTTTCCCACATCATAAAATCGTTACCTCCATCCATTTTCATTCACCTCGTCCTCTTTGGCGTCATTTTTCGGGCTTTAAATCCGCCATTACTAATGCCAACATCGGGTCAGAAAATAAAAAAAAAGGAAATCACATCAAAGCTGTCTCTGTCACTGGTATTACGAACACAAAGTATTTGGGATATGAAATGTAATTCTTTATCTCTTCTACCCGCAGTACTTTTATGACAATATTACTTTATTATATTAGAGAAATAATAGATTACAAGGATATATATATATATATATATATATATATATATATATATATATATATATATATGCAGAAGTCCTTGAGAATGTCAGGTCTTTCAGAATGGAGACATTGCTACGTAAACAAAAGGTTGTACTTGGATGCCTATTTATGGAGATTAGAAATAAATCGACTTCCAAAGACATTGCTATTCATGGAACTGACTATCAAGATTCACATCGGCATCTAAGAATGTGGACATTTATATTGGAGTGTGTTGGATTGACCATTCCTACTGACCAAGCTGTACAATTCTCGCCTGCTGCCCCAAAGAAACATTCGACAGTACAAAAATACCCCCCACCAAAAAAAAGCACCCTCCACCATCACCCAAAAAAAAAAAAATAAAGCAAAACAACAGTTGACATGTCACAAAATCAGTCAACCATTTTCACCAACAGTTGTGTGCGACGAAAGACACGCGCGGAGTCGTTGAAAGGAACTTTTGCCTTCAGCGAAATAGGTACCCCAAATTGGTTAAGTGGGCTGCTGACACGGAAACTGAGCATGCATATAATTTTTATCACCTTCAATGAACTCACTTACGAACTCAGGGTGTGGTTGACGTGTCCACTGGTGACGCTTCGAAGCATAAACCATTTGCTTGTTTTCATTGCGGAAAATATAGCTCTTTCCTAGTTGAGCATAGGCAACTCTGCTGACCTCTCCTTAATCATTTCAGTCGAGTTTATTACACTTACTTAAGTGCTTATACCCTTGGTAAAAGTATGAATCCTGCTCTTCTCCCTCATCTACGGGTAAATAGCAGGACAGTCTGGGTCCTATCGCTTTGGTTGTCGACTAATCTGAAAACTCTTTCCAGGAACAAATAAAACTGTCAAAATGACCAAGGGAATTCAGAGCAGCATGAATCAATCCAGGTTTTATCTCAAATAACAACTTAAGTGCTTGACCATCACAAAGACTGACAAAACTTCATGTTAAAAAAAAACCCATAAAACTAATGAAAACTAGAGACAAGAGTTCATTTTCTCCATCAAGACATTCATTTCTGTAGTTCAATGCTACCAGAAAGCAGAATTTTTTTCTCCTGATGATAGCCATGTTGGCCGAAACTATTCAAGAAATCTAAATGAAATAATAATAAAAACGAAAGAATGTTAATATACAACCCAGTGTGTCTGAAGATTTTAATTTTTTAATATTTTTTATTGTTCAATATATATATATATATATATATATATATATATATATATATACACTATCGACATATTATGTCTATCTATTTTATTTCAAGCCTCTCAAATTCACGGAACAATTTCTTAGCGTTGTTACAAAACTGATACATTATAGGTGTATTTTATTACATTGAACACAGTTTTGTCTACACCATAGATTAAATAAATATTTATTTTATCACCTGTATATGTACGTAATCGCTGATATATATGGTCGATCGTATCTTTATATGTATCTCTCTCTCTCTCTCTCTCTCTCTATATATATATATATATATATATATATATATAGATATAGAGAGAGAGAGAGAGAGATACATATAAAGATACGATCAACCATATATATCAGCGATTACGTACATATACAGGTGATAAAATAAATATTTATTTAATCTACATATATATATATATATATATATAGATAGATAGATAGATAGAGAGAAAGAGAGAGAGAGAGAGAGAGAAATGATTTAGAGAAGGGTAAATTTAATAAAAACAGTGGCTGCTGTTCCTATGAAATCATTGCTATTCAAGAATTGACTTCTCTTAACCACTGGCGTATTTAGTATAGAAAAAGGCTAAAATTTCCTTTTCTCTCTGCCGTGTGCCAAATCGGTCGAGTTTCGATCCCGGTTTGAAGCAGTAGATACAGCGAAACAGTCTGTCTTTGGATGGCTATGTATATATATATATATATATGTGTGTGTGTGTGTGTGTGTGTGTGTGTATAAAATTTGAACAGCGTAACGAGATTGACCACAATTTTGATAAAAAATGCTTCACTAATTAAAAGAGAAAATGTTTATAAAGTGTCTTATTCACTCGGTCATCCACAAGAATTTTGCCTCCTTTTTTCCTACGACCTTTCACTATTCTTGGCAGATCTTCTATTATGAGAATGTAGGATGTTTAATAAAAAAAAAAAGTGATGGAAACATTATCATAAAGAAAAATAATCTAAATTAAATTGGCTGCGTTATATACCCAAAACATAAATTAAAAAAAAATAAATCAAAATTCCAGTGTCCTTCTTCTCCTCGTGCGCATGTGTAGTCGCATCGACATCAGCATAAATTTAGTCCTATAAATGACGAAACGCGTCAGACGAATTTTTTTCCACATTGTCATACATCTTTCGCCTAAAATTGTCCTTGATCCATAAAAAAATATTTTCGCTTTTTCACACACACATGCATGCACACACACACACACACACACACACACACACACACACACACACACACACGCACACACGCACGCACACACGCACACGAACACACGCACACACACACACACACACACACACACACACACACACACACACACACACGCACACACGAACACACACACACACACGCACACACACACACACACACACACACACACACACACACACACAGATACACACATAGCCTGATATAATGCTATCTCAAAAGAAGCAATGTCAAGAAAGACATTAATTTGTCTAGAAGGCGAATAAACTATTTGTTTGAACATGTCTTGCTTTTCAGTTTTATAATATTTGTTTTTATTAGATTATTGTTAAGGGGTCCACTCCTTTTTATACAAGTGGACTCGCCCAGGGTGTACTTGTACTGCTGCCGGTGAATACCCGGGGGTGACAGTCATACAGTGAGAGAGTGAGAGTGTGAGGTAACCGCTTTGTAGGAGCCACAGTTGCGAGCACGCAGAGTCAGAAGGAAGTCCTACTTCGATACTGAATTTCCCAGACTGTATATATTATTATTGCTTCTAACCGCATTTCTGGATCTACTAACCGTATTACCAATTGTATTATTACGTCAATACATTTATTTGCTATATTTCATTCCTGCGTTTGTCATTCATTTGAGACCGGATTTCATCCCGGAATTCCCAACAATTATATATTTATTAAATTCTTTTTTATGCATTATTTGCCTAATATGTAAAATCTGTAACTGTAAAAAAAATATCTTTCTGTATGCGGCCTCGATGAGGGACGATGAATTTCAATATGATCTTATTGCGCAAAAAGGTTCCCCACCCGTAGTTTAGCATCTACTGGCAGGTTAGGTTTATGGCACCAAATTCTACCCTCAGGATTGACAACAGCCTAGTGGATTAAAGTGTTGATTCATGAAATTGATGAAACTGACCCTAGTATTGCGTCGGGATTATTCTAATATACTTCCCAAATATGTAAAGTCAGTATTAAATGAAAATATATATTTATTGAGAATGTCACAAACGATGCTATTGTGTGAAAATGTTTCTCTTCCAGTAAATTGTCTTAAATATTATAGAGATTTTTGTTTTATCCATTCATGATTCTCTTATGACACTTATAAAATGGATCTGTTGGTTGCGAAGTAATATAGAACAATGAAGATTCTTCCCTCAGTATGGCTGATGCTAACATCCAGGTAAGTGACTCATTGCCTCTTCTTGGGCTAACGGTTTCCAGTAACATGAAGTGTAAATATTATATCGAATCAATTACTAAGTCTGCTGTAAGTAAGGCTGGTCCACTATGTTGTGTGCAACATTTTTCTCGCCAAGATCTATTTTGCATATCTACAAGTCTATCATTTATCCATTTGAATATTGCTGCCAGATATAGTCTGGTGCTGCTGCTATATATTTAGATCTCCAAAGAATCTGAAATGTTATTGGTCCTGACCTGGCATTTCAGCTTCAGTCACTCTCCCACTGCCATGTAGCTTACCTATACCTTTTCCATAAATACCTTCATGATGAAATAGTAATTGTGAGGTCTCAATAGAATAAATTGATGATGGGGAGAGCAATAAATAAATAGGACTACATAAGCGTTTGTTGAGACATCACTGGCCATGATTAGTAGACAGTGAACAGTCTACACTCTGTATTACTGTACTGATGCGGCATTCACCCTGGGCGGATTGAGCCGGCTTCTTCCTGTTATGAGAAGAAGATTCTTGGGATAAATTACAGAAGTAGGGTACCCAGGCCTACTCGGATAACGTTCTTGCTTGCCGCGGGATTCCCACAGACGCAGAGACAGGAACGACCAGAAGCCGCCGGTTGCCGATGCAGACGCTCCTTGGATTTTCACCAGAGCCCTTTGTTAGCCGGCGTGTGTGTCAGACCTGTCCGCCTTGGGTGGCCCTACCAGGAACGAAGTTCCGGGCGGCATAGCTCTGACACTACCGTCTACACCCCCCACCGACTGTGAGGTAAGGGTTGGACTTTGGGGGCTTACGCTGAAACACCGGTTCTCGTTCGATCTCCGAAGTTAAGCATCGTAGAGCCAGGTCAGTACTTAGATGGGGTCCGCTTGGGAACACCTGGTACTGTAAGCCCCCAAAGTCCAACCCCACTTTACAGTCTACACTCGTAGATTAAATAAAGGGTTCTGTCCGAGATTCGCCGAAGCTTGCTCGGCTCAACAAGCACCTGACTAAGGACTGAATTGCCGTGAGAATAATAACAAAGAAGTCGACAATAATCGGCATATAAACAATTTAAGGGATCAGTCAGTATTAGAGGGGTCTGGATCATCGATCTGAACACCAATTTTCTTTATCCCAGAAGTATAGACAGAAAATAGAATTTTGTTGAATGATGCTGGAAGAAGCCTGAGAGTAAACTTAATTCCTCCGAATAATTTTTCTTATGCCTCTTGATTCCTTGGGTAACATTGGGCCGCAACAACACTGTGGGTAATTCAGTTCGCCTGTCA